TGGATGAGAAACGCCGATTGTTCTCTATATTTTTTTCAGGTGGAAAGGATTCACATGTTCCTCAAAAGAGCAGATCGCATATTTGCTGTAGTGCAGTTCAAAAATTGTGATACTCTTGAGGTTCTTGCTACTCAGATAGTTCAACACTATGAACCTTTAGTAAGTTTTTCTTCTTTAAAGCCTCGCTTTTAACGCCACAATTTTTGTTTTATTATGTTATTTTTGATTCTCAGTATTATCCTCATCTGTGTATTTTCTCATATGCTCCTGGGTACTAACACGTGGCACGAACGTACTTGAAAGGCGCAGTTAGGGTTGAGGACTACTCGTCGCGGAAAGAAGAGACCCCATGGAGATCTGCAACAAATGCGAAAATCCTGCATACCTGAGAGCTGCGCATTTGTTGCAGAAGTCCGTGCGACCTCCCTTTTTGGCGGCATGTAGTCCTTTAGTCGCTGCGTATTTTTGGATGATGATTCTGCATTCACTGATTTTAAGCTGATTCGTCTTGGTCAAACTATCATATGGTTTTTGTCAGTGTGTAACTTCTTTACCTTCCCTATGCCCAAGACAAAGTTCACGCGATTTCATTGTCGCGATCCATCGCTGCAAGACAAGTGTTGCAAGTTCATTGCATGCCGATCTTCTTGTATTTTGGTTGTGACAGTTATTTACGATTAGTCGTGTTGGGAAACTATCACAGTCGGAATGCAAGAAGATCGGCATGCAATAACTCGTAACTTGTCTTGCGGCTATGAATCGTGACGTGAAATCGCGTGTACTCTGTCTTAGGCCTTAGCTTGAGTCTAATGAACAGTACTATTGCTTGCCTGATCCCTATTTTAAGGCACTAATACGTGGTTTCGAAGAGCTCCACATTCGATGTCGTCAAAATGAGATACTCGGAAGAACCTCGTCTCAAGGCACTGAAAGCTAATACACTATGAAGTAGGAAACAAATCTGGCTTTAGCTTGCTACCTCGGCATTCTATCACGTTCTCACCCTTATTTCTGCCCATATTGTGAATAAGTATCCTACTATGTTGCCAGTTACGCGATTGTTTATCACTTGAAGGCCGTTTCATTTACTTATGATACTGTCTTTTTTTTTTGAACTGCATTATGAAGTGATGTACATTATACGAGTTTGTCTTGTCAATTATGTTTCAAATGAATGAAGTGCAAATTCCAGTTTATAGTGTGTCACTTCCTCAGAAACAAGAACAAATCAAGCAAGAAAATAATAGATCTTCGCAGTGTGGTGTACTAAGGGGGTTACATATCGAGATTCTAAATAGGTTGCTAAGCTACGTCAAGGCATAATACATACAGCTGCACTGAAAATAGCGTATTCGAACATGCACTAACATAAACTACAGAATCAAGATTGAGCAGATAATTCGCTGAGGTACCCTGCTTTGATGTTTTCGCTGTAAACGTAAGTCTAAGCAAGAAGAATAGAATGACACAAACGAATAAAAGTATAATACGTACCAGAAAATAACGAATTCGCTCCTCAGTTGTTTCTGCAGATGGATTTTGAGC